AAGAAGAATCACTCGTCAATTTAATCCTATAACTGAAGACGGAATTCGCATCAGGTACCTCCTGCAGTTTGTCTAAGAGATTTAAATCTTGGTTAAACCCTTCAATGAATGAAAGGATCTCTGGCTCAATCCTTTCCACACAGTAAAACTTCAGGGCACCTACAACAAAAATAAATAATAAAATAGACTTGTGATGAAGAGTAGGAAAAAACAGAATAGACTTGATCTATTTGTGAAAGAAACTGAAATGACATAGATAAAAAAATATTGTTTGACACTAGAAACGAACTCTGCGAGTGTGTTGGCGAATGGACCATCTGGCAGAGGTAGACGTATTTCAAGTATAGGAAATGAATAAGAAAATCAGGTCGAATGTTGTTCTGCCAGTGTTTTCAGCCACTTTTCTGCTGCCATTTAGAAGTTATTCATCAAGCACCATTTCAAAAATTCAATGAAAAATTCATTTTTTCAGTGGAAAAAACGCGAGTACTCAGTTTCGAGCAAATCCACAAAGATTAACTGCTGCTACCCTGCCCAACTTGGTGGGGTCTATTCATGGCTAAATTTGGTAACCTTTCTTAAGTTTTAGCAGCTCTATAGCAGAGCGGGTCTTAATTTTTCTACATAAAGGGGTATTTAATTAATTCTTGAGGTCCATTGGAACAAGCAATCACTTGTTTTTATGAGTAACCTGGGTGAGGTTGAGGAGATTCAGTTGGCGAATGATGTCCAATTCGAGACGACATGTGCCTTAGCTTTCATCTGGTCTGAGCTACCTTGCTGGTAAGTGGAACTCAGGGGTGGAGACACATTTAATTCAGCGCACTGGAACTTAGGAGTGGTTCCCACATAAAAGTACATTGAGTGAGACGAAAAAGGGTTAATAGAAGAGAAGGAAATTACGCTGACACCAATCTGCATCAGTATAAATAAGGAACTTCTAACTTTGACTTCTTTCCCACACTCTTGATCGTCCTCTGTGATGGAAAGAACAAAAAAATAATTTTCACTTCTCTCTTTCCACACTCACTTATATATAGATTGTTGTCTATATTTCGATTTAAATCATACCTTTAAAAAAAAGGTTGCTCATTCTCCCAAAATCGTTGGTAGAATGGAGCAACAAAAATTATAAATTTCCACATTAAAGTACATTGAGTGGTTGTTCACTCATCCAAAACTGTTGATAGAATGAAGCAACAAAAATTATAAACCGATCCCATCATGACATAGACACTAAATAAATTATACAAAATAATAAGTTGGTGAGTTACAGTCAGAAAATATTCCTAATAATATTTTTCAAAAATTACATTTAAGTATGTGCCTTGCGATCCGATCTTCTCATTCGACGTTAAATGAGTATGGAAGCATGAATGATAAATGAAATTGGAAAGAGTAAAAATTTATGATAAATGAGATAATAATTACCTTAAGTAATTACCTACAAAATAAAACGTGCTTTCGAGAAGAATCCTGAGGAAAGTTTGGTAAGTAAGGGGAGTTCCTATTGGAGAAAAGAGAGGAATCGGTCTTACAAAAAATAATTTCTACTGTATTTACTGCCTCAATCAGCTTTGTAAATTCATACCTATGAATAGATTCACTCTGATGCTAGTTTAAAAACTTGAAACGTCACTATCTGGAGCTTCAATTCTAGAATAGGAAATAAACAAAATTCTTTCCTTCAAAAGGGATTTCACTGATGCAAAGTAGAAATTGGCCAGCATGCCGTTGATAACTGTTCAATGAAGAATAAACGTTGATATGTTAGTGAGCCTAACCAAGAAGGAACTAGCCGGAGATGAGAAATTATTGGAGGAAGGTTAAAAGAATGATTGAAGACGCAGCACGTGGCGCCTGCGAAGACAATACATGAAAGTTGAGCTGTTCTGTAGGTTCACTGCGAGAGGGTTAGGGTGAAAGTTCTGGTTGTCGAGATATCAACGGTGGATGATTTTGATAATGTGAGTATGTAAGGAATCAACTGTGAATGATGAAGTGTTTCAGTGTGAACAAACCATGAGGTGTTTGTTATTCTGCAAAGATATCGATCTAAAAGATTCGAATAACCTTAATGTTGGATGAGGAAGCATAGGCCCATGATCATGTAGCGTAAGACGAGATAAGGCAGAGGAATGAGTGGTATACATGAAGTTTGTTGTTAATTGAAAGTTAAGAAGGTCTAGACGTCAGGAGAATCGGTTAGATATCAGACGGAGTTGTTCTTTTTTTCATTCGAGTGAAGTGAGATTTCCAAGTAAGCCTTCTGTCTGCAAGGACACCCAGGTATTTCAATGAATTTAAGAAAGATGGACGGGTTGAAAGATTCCATGCTCCATTAGTATTTACGGGAGGGAAATCAAGTGTGGGAAGAGTGAATGTTGTTAGGAAAGATTTCGTTTCATTGAGGGTGAGTTCCCAGCGGTGGAAGTGTGGAACCAGATTGGTAGCCTGAACGAGTAGTTTCTGTAGTTTTGGATAATTGGTTGTTTGAGGAAAGGAACTGCCCTCTGCAAAAGGTGAAACATTCGCTAAATAATGAGAGGTACAAAAAATAAATTCTTACCTTGTCGTTGTCGTGAACTCGTGATGGTGATGGAATACGGTTGCAGGATCAGAAGAAAAAATATGGCCTGACCGATTGTCCGTTACAAAAAAGGCGCGAATAATACCTCCTTGGCGCGAACGAATGACAATGAACACATGGTTGAGGTTAGGTACAGGTTTTTTTTTAAGACTTGATTAAAATTGAAAGTAAAAAAACAGAAACATAGTAAGTGTAATATATCAATAGCTTTGTAATGGCTTTGAGAAGCACTTTAGAGAGGTTTCCACGAGAAATTTTCTTTCAAATTAAAGAAAATTGAGGAAAATTGCGAGCCAATAAAAAGCCGGGAAAAGCTGGTGGCGCCGGTGTCACCGGTGCAACACATCTGAACGCATCATCGGACTTGCTTAAACTCGTAAGCAGTTTTTGCCCAAACGGTACTTCATAGTACACTCTACTACAGGTATGGACAAACGGGGTGCCGAAGTGGCAGCGCTGAGAAAATCGGCGATCGAGTGACGTATGAAGTCGTACCGGTCGTACCGTCCATTTGCCGCGCAGTTCTTCGCAGTCGTACTCTCGATGCTGTCAAATCTACGCGTTTTGACGACTTTCTAAAATTCCATTTGTCCATACCTGTAGTAGAGTGTACCTTGGACCAGGGGAATTTCATTTCGTTCCCGAAACTCGAGCTGAACTGGCAGAACTGAACGGAATCAACCAATAGCATTGAACCACTAGTCAACCACTACCGGTTTTTCTCTAAATTCAAAAGATACAGCTAAAATTGTGAAAGATATTAGCTGATGCTGAATTATCCGTGCGATGAAGCCCTATTAAATGTGGTAGAAATGAAATCCTCATATCCTCAACCTTGATCCTTTGTAGGTTTCACTGGAATCGGCCAACGTGTAAGCGAGAAATCTGCTGTGAAAGGTGGTCTTGACGGGGAGGTCGGCAGTCAGTTTAGTCGTATTTTTACGTAATTTCTCTTCTAAAACATTTGGAATGTTAAAATAAAGTCAAAAGCGGCACACACGGTAACATGGCGATTCTTTAGGTACCCACTTTTATGGGTCTAAGGTTTACCGTTATCGCGGAGTTTGAGTGACTTTCTCAGGACCCTGGATTCTTGAAATTCAAATTTCCCGGCAAAGTAAAAAGTAAAATTTTCCTTGTTTTGGGTCATTAAGTGCTTATAAGTTTTTGAAAACTCAATGGATCTTAATGAAACCCTTAAACGCCATCCGGCTAACTTAGCTGCGTCCATAGACACCAAGATCGTTGGAATCCGTGCCGCCGTTTGCTCTGAATTCCACTCTAAATCGAATCAATTTTCAGATTAAGGGAGTTGCCTGTGACTAAGAGTGTCGGCCACCCGTTTGTTATCGGGACTTTAGTAGGACGTCATTTTCCTCGACCGGGGGTGGCTACCGCCACTCTTGATTCTATTTTATTTTTAATTTTTGTTTAACAATTAAATTCTAAGGCACCCCGCTGAAGCCCTTGTCCAGCTGTCCCAGCGGGGTGCCAACTTAAAAGATACACCCTTTACATCAGTCGTCGGCCCTTCTCGAAGGGCCAAAGGATTAATTTACGATATTAAAATAGAGTCGCTTAATACAATAATGTAGTCGCGACAGGCTAATCAAGAGAGAGAATTTTATTTTTTAGAGTGTATTGTGACAAATGAAGGATGCCGTATTAGCGTCTCTGTGCGTGCGATAGTGACTGGCGAAGTTTTTTCTATGTTTTATGGTTTTGTTTTATAAAGTAGCGTATGATTTTTTATTAAACCTCCATAGAAGGCGGCTGGAATTAAGAAACGCGTGAGGACCTAACAGTACAAAGCTCTATTGCTTCAATATTATTCCGCTGTTTTCCTAAAGGTGCAAGAAGCAACAAAAATGCCCTTGAATAAAAATGGAACAAGGGCTGTACTGTCCGCACGAATTGGAGGGATTTCACCAGAATATATTTTCACGCGCTGAATATGGAGGCTAAAAACAGGAGTCATTAGTCGTTAAGCATACAGTCGTAATTTTGTAAATTCAGGTTTTTACTTAACTTATTCAAATATTTCAGAAAAGCTGATGACTGTTGGGTATTCCATCCCCATCGATTGCTGAAAGCCTGGCACGCGTAAAATTCAGGATACTACGCAACATTGCACCTATGACTCCAACTTTTAGCTCTCATTCTCAGCAGTTGAAGAAGGTTGAACTTAAATAATTGCATTTCACCCCGCCTAATTTTCCTATCAATTTTTTATTTCTTGAAACAAAAAACCAAACAGCGTAAACACCTTGATACTTCATGTAAATTTGTCCTGAGTTTAAAAGGATAATCATTCACCAAATCTCAGATCAGACAGTTGTTTAATACGCTGTTGAAAAATTTAAAAATGAGAGTCAATCAGGAAACACATCTCATGTAGGGGAGAGTGGGGGTATTTGGGTCATGGGGTTCAATGGGTCACATGGAATATTTTCCCGCCTAATAGGAATTTTTCGGTTTTGCCGGCGTAGGAAGTTGGCAACACTTGTATTCTACCAAAAAAATGTGCAATGACGTCATCGGCATTCTTTGTTTTTATTTTGGAGCCACATTAGCTGCGGAGCTGTCGAAATCGGCAGAAAACGGCGATTTTTCTTCCGAGAAGTTTGTGCACCTTGGTAAGTACTCTCTTTGGATTTTTATGCTGTAAGTTGTTCTGAAAAGTAGACTTGTTTTCCTACATTTTGGCCTTTTGAAACATAAAAAAAAATAATTTTGGAATTTCCTCAGCATGATTTGAAAATCCCAACCTGCTTGGGGGCTAAATGGGTCACTTTTTTGGGGGTTAAATGAGTCACTCACCGAGTTAAGATTTTAACTGATTTTCTGTATTTCATTTGTTTTGTGCAGAGATCATGACCTGAAAGTTCACCAGGAAGAGGGAACAACCTAGGATTCCTCCGAGGATTCCAAGATTCCTTCGACTGCAGTGATAACAGGAAACTCTTTCATGACCATGTAACGCCGTGCTGGTCTCTTTTGATTTTAATTTCTTTTTTATTTTTGTACTTTTTTAGTGGTTGATAATGGTGTTGTGAGACACCGAAACGTCCTGTGTTTAGGTATTTATGTATTTTAGCCTTTTCTCAACTGTTTCCTTCTTTTAGTTTTTAAGTTTGGACCAAAAGTAAAAATGTTCCGTACATAAATATGTTTTGCGCCAAAGCATTAATTTATATACCTATTTAGTATGTTACCTATGAAAATAAATTGTTGCCCATTTAGATTACCTAATTCTTCTTTATAAGGTTACCCATGTTCCTGTGGTTCTAGATTAATTTGTGTTCATTAAAATTTATTTCTTTAATCATGGTTCTTATTTTTTAGCGAAGACAACAGCCTCTTAAATATTTATTTTGGTGGTCATGAAATGGAGGGTTGAAAAAAAAACGATGTCTTCTAGAAAATATTCAAAACTTCCCAAAATTATTATTTAAGCCTCTAAAAGAAATTTCATAATTTTTGCCATAACAGAGGGTTCCTTCTTATTGCCTTGCTATTCTGAATTCCTAAGTATTCTTAAGCTCACCTTTTTTTCAACACTCCTCTCATACCAACCAAAAGTTAACATTAATAATTTATCTGTTTATTCATCCATTCACTTACTTAGGTACCTGTGACCTCATTCATTAAGCAAATTGGTATCTACCAAAAAAGAAAAAAATAAATTGATCATCGAGTCATTGCAAACCATACATTGAAGGATAAAAAGAGGAAACCCAACCCCACCCCCCTCCCTCAATATTTCTCATTTATTTACTATTTTTATTAGTGCAGCATTGATAATTTTAAAGATATATCTCATAGAGGTTTCACAAATATCTATTTTAAGTTGATTAATATGTGTCCAGAATGATTTACAGTGGGTGACTCAGTTAACCCCAGGGGTGACTCATTAAACCCCATGGTTGGGGTTAAGTGGGTCAAAAAGGTTACCCTGCTCAAATAAAGATTTCGACTTTACTTTATGCACAGAAAATTTGCTCCGGCATAAATTCAATAGCTGAGAATATACTTGATCGTATTAAATCATGAAATCAGACAAAAAAAAATTTAAATAACATTTAGGAGCGTTTTCCTAAAACTGACTCAAATAACCCCACTCTCCCCTACATCACTAAATGATTTTATTCTAAACATTTGGTTCAATTTCTTTCGAAAACATGTCTCTTTTTTCTCTTCGCAATAATATTTACAAGATTTTCGACAAGAAAATGCCGCATAATTTCTTATAATAAAAAGTAAGGAATTCGTGTCCACTTAGGCAAATACAAATCTGAAACCATGAATTTTGGCAACCATGCCAATATTCGGGTCTAGGATTTCTGTGTAAGCTCATTTTTTTTTATCTAGAATAGGGCGTCAGTTACGATGGAGGAAGTTTTTTAAAAAAAGATTTCAAGTAAGAACATTGCACTGGATAACTGGAGCAAATCTTGATTCCTGTACCGAGGCATTTATCTGCCAATTCGTTTTCTCTCGGAACATGTAATGCATACAGTTATCTCTCTATGAAATTCGTTCTTGGAAGATCTTTTTACCTTTTTTAGAAGCGCGTAATAATCACGTCGCGGAAATCCAACAAAATTACTTAGAAAGATCCAGAGAATAGCAAGAAAATCTCAGGAGAAAATAAATACCTCGGAGGAGAGCAAAACATAAAACAATGTGGAGAGAAAACAGTGTGTCATTACGCAGGAAGGGAAAGGGGTTGGTTTCGCGAAGAAGGTGACCAATAAAAATGAATCATAGGTCCGACACGCCACGGAGGGCACGAAGACTAACGAGTCATTAAAACCAGTTAACTTGAAATTAATGTACTCCGTGTCGTCTGCTTCAGCGGCAAGGTTGTCAAAAGTGAAGAAAATGAGAAGAAAAGGGAAACACGAAATTCGTCTGGAGAGCACCATTAAACGATCGGCTTTTCAATAAATGAACGGCGCAGTGAGGAAAATTTGTACTTTTGGACGGGCTTTCAGAAAAAAGAGAGAAAGGTCCGAAAAGGAGGACAACTTGATCTCAATAACTTACAGTGGCGAGGCGTGAATAATTGATTATCGATATTTCCCCATTTGAAGCCATGGTAAAGAATCGATTATTGAGGTGTTCATTGCGAACACCTTATGGATCGATTCACACAGCCCCTCTCAAGATTTAAAGAATTTTACCAAGCAAGCGCATGACACTATATTTAATCTTGGAGCATGGAATTGGCTCAATCCTTCGGTGAGAATAGCTCAAAATGCTTCTAAGACGCGACTTAATTTTTCAACATTTTCCGCGAGAATTCTCCCAGACTCCGTTGTCAAGCTAGAGAAATTCTCCGAACTCTCTTCTGGGGCCAGGAGAGTCCCATAGATGCAGGCAGACCCCCCTAAATTAAATTTTTCTTATGCCCCTCGGAACCCCTTTAATGAGGTACCTTACTGGCCAATGAAGAAGCGTGAATGATCGATTATCGATATTTCTCCCATTTGAAACAATGGTAAAGAATCGATTATTAAGGTGTTTGTTGCGATCACCCTGTTCATTGATCCTCTTCCGTAGATTAAAATGGCAGATTAATCGATATATCGCAAAAGCACGCCACACCACTGCTACTGGCGCCCTACGAAAACTTTCTAGTTCCGCCCTACTGAAGCACAACTTTGCAGAATCGTTCAAGAACTCCATCGTCCATCAGGTCGCGCGTAGCACCGGTCAATTCGTCAAAATGGAAATCTGGCAAGACGGCAGCAAAGAGGGTAACGGCTCCATTTCCGCGGTGTATCGTCGAGTGGCGCGTCGAGGCGGCAACACGCTCCAAGCCCCCCCCGATGGAGTGGGCGAGAGTGGAACGTGCTCTGAATATCGAGTACCGTTGCCGATTCACGCATCGCCGATGCTTGATGGAAGGTGGATGATGGCTCAACGGGGCTCTTCAACGGTGCTTGCAAACAACACGCCGCCCGCCGCCGTCGGCTATTGACGCCCCCGCCGTCCCACTCATTCGCCCGGTGCTAGTGAGCTCTGCCGTGCTAAGGAAAAACGCCGTATGAACATTCGAAAGGTGCCAAATTTCCCCCGATAAAATGTTCATTTCTGAAGAGAGTTATGAATATCTCTCATCGAAATTTTCAGAAACTTCAGATCAAATTACGAATAACATTCTCTGAAAAATTCGAAGAAATAAATTCAAAAATTTTCCCGGATATTCATGATTTGTCCAAGGAAATTTTGCAACATCTGAAGGCTCATTAGAGGTTCTTCCTTAGCACGGTAGTAGGGGCAGTCGAGAAATGGTTCAGTCGATTGAGATACCGGCTTTGATCGACCCTGCCATTTTTAGGTTTTAGAAGAGCCCGACACCTAAAGAATTCAATTAGTTTGGCACAGTTTGCCTTTTTAGTACCCCTCCACTAGATGACTCGTTTAGGAAGAGTACGGACACTGTAGGAGCTTTTGCTTATTGGCTCAGTCGTCTTAGGCTTCATGGAGCTCTTTTGGGTTCGAAAAAATAATGACGAGGCGTGGGGTGTTTGCATGCAGATATTGACGATTATGTACCATCGTGTCCATGATATTGGACTCCATGCTCACCCTTGATATATTTGCCTGCTCATCTCGTCCAAGATTTTGGACTCCATGCTCATCGCTAAACTTCTCACCTCTTTGCTTGAGCATGGAGTCCAATAGCAAGTAGACCTTTTTTAGTTTTATAGTTCATCATGATCGAAAATCGTATACCTCTCTTATCTAATCTAACTTGAACCCAACCTAATCTAACCTAACCTAACCTAACCTAACCTAACCTAACCTAACCTAACCTACCTAACCTAACCAATGCACAATTTTTTACGAAAACACTTTTTTACGTCTTTATTTCACAAAAATTGTCTGAATAAATTTTTGGACCATATGCTCTTGTGTTGTCAGAGAATACCTACATCCCACAATTTTGGACGCTATGCTCACTTCGATTTTTCTAAAAAATTATCCCTCATTAAAGTGAGCATGGAGTCCAAGATCTTGGACGTGATGAGCAACCGGACGTTATATAGGTGATCATGGAGTCCAATATCATGGACGCGATGCTACATTACC